CATCCTTTACCAAATGAGAAAAAAATTATGTTAATAGCTAGTTAAGAGTAATTTCTCATTTTTTTTTATAGATATGTTAAATATAATCAAAAATTTTGCAAATAAAGTGAAAGTTATGGTTTGGCTAGAAAAGCCCGGCGAGCGAAGCGAGCCAAATGAAATTGCATCATCATAATAAATCACATGAATATTTAATACACAATCACATGATCTACCAGTAATTTTTCCACCAGTTAAAATTTAGAAATTCTCTTTAAATCTTAAAAACTATTTATCATAATAATTATGATACTGTATGGTAGTATAAACCAACTTAATTAAAAAAAAAGTCAGAATTATTACAGTTCTAATTATACTATGACTATAGCTCCCTGCCATGTTTAATGTTAACTTGTTTATTATTACACTAACGTTACGATGTTACGTCGTTTCTTTCATTCAAACTTATTTTTTTTTTATTAAACTATATATTTTTATTTAAACCAAAATTTGCGATTCATCATTACATCTTAAAAAAAACAATAATTATAATTCTACAGAAATTCTTCTCTTAGATATGAGTTTTTTAGTAAAAATAATAAATTGAATGGTTTCTTATAATCTTTCATGTTCATTATTCGCCACGTTGTTAATTTAGTTGTTTTCAATTGAATTTATTTTAAATAGACTTCTCATCAATCATGTTTATATTGGTTTTTTAAATAAGATTTAAAAATAACAACAAATTAATAATCTATTGAATACCAATCATTGATTTTGTTTTATCAATTAATCAATAACTGATAAGAATCAAGGATACTATCTATTCATTAAGTATGACAATCAAATTTGTTAAACACAAATTGTATTCTCAGTTTTCTGAAAATTAAAAAGTAAATTTTTAATTATAGATTATCCTACTAAGTATAGAAAGTACGGATAGTAATAATTTTCTTTTTTTGGTTATGAGGCGTAAAATATTACGCCTCAAGGTCACAAAATTTGATCAACAATTTGCATTTTACTAATTTATCGAAACTTAAAATAATTATTTATTTCTTTCTTATTGATTACATTATGTCCAATCTTCGATATGAGTTAATTGCTGCAACAAATAATAGAGCAGCATCATTAATAGATACTAATATTTACAATGATATACACAAACAATTTGAATTTCAAAAACAAATAGTCCTTGCTGATAAAATTCTTACAAATGATGAAAAAACTGATGCGATAAGAGAGTTAACTAGAGCTTATGATCGAAATAAAATTAATTTTAATTTAGGAACAAGAAGAATTTGTGAAAATTGTAACCAAGAATGTTTAGCCACATTATATTGTGAATATTGTGTTCGAAATTATTTAAAAGAAAAATTTTCAAATTGGACATCCGGGAATGGTGATATTGATAATTTAATACAGAAATGTCAAATGAAAACGCTTATACCAAATAGGGTAGTTGAATGGATCCCATATAGTAATTTAGTAAATATTAAATATTTAACAAAAGGCGGATTCTCAGAAATTTATACAGCAGATTGGATTAATGGAAGATATGATGAATGGAATTTTGGAAAAAAACAATTAGAAAGAAGTGGTACTTTTAAAATAATACTTAAAAGATTAGTAAATGTCGAAAGTACAAATAAAAGTTGGTTTGAAGAGGTTTGTATTATTATATTTTAAATTTATTGAATAAAATTATACAGTCTTTATGTTAATAAGTTTTTTACAAATTATTATCTTTTAGGCTAAATCACATTTAGCTATAAGTAATAAATGGTCGGATGTTGTTCGATGTTATGGTTTAACACAAAATCCATCAAATGGAAATTATATGCTTGCAATGTATAAAATGGAGATAGATTTAAGAAAATATTTACAACAAAATCATAATCAACTTACATGGAAAATGAGAATTAAGATTACTTATGAAATAATTCATGGACTTTATTATATTCATTTTGAGAAAGCAATTCATAGAGATTTACATTCTGGAAATATATTATATTCACAATTTAATGATCATTGGTATATTAGTGATCTTGGATTTTGTGGACCTGCTGATAAATCTTCAGCAAGTATATATGGAAATCTTCCTTATATAGCACCTGAAGTTATTGTTGGAAGAGAATATACTTTTTCATCTGATATTTATAGTATTGCAATTCTTATGTGGGAGATTTCATCTGGACAAACACCATTTATAAATTATGAACATGAAAATGATATTGTAATGAATATTATTAACGGTATAAGACCAAAAATTGTGCCAGAAACTCCATTAGAATATAAAAATTTAATGAAAGAATGTTGGGATGCTGGTCCATTAAAAAGACCTGACGTTCATGCACTTTGGGAAAGAATGAAAAGATTTAATTTAGTATATCAAAATATGTCAGATGAATTATTCAAATCAGAAATAGATAATTTAGAAATGAATAAAGTAGAAGAAAATTATATGAGTAGCAGATTATTTACAAGCAAAATTCACAACTTTAGAAATCTACCTGAACCAAAAAATGCAACAGAAGGTATAAGTGTATAATATTTTATTAATGAATGTATTTATTTTAAATACATTATTAATGTTGTCTTTTATTATAATAGAAGAACAAGAAGGTATAACCGTATAAATAATAATTTCTACCATTTTTTGGTTACTATAATAATTTAGTTTTTATTTTACTACTAATAGGGTTTCATAGTAAATTGTATGACTTTAACATTCCTAACAATAGTAAGTAATTATTAACATTACAGCATTGAATTATTACATAATGATGTTTAATAATTGATATTTATTTTAGTTAATGATTTTAATAAATCAAGTAAGCGAGATAGCAAATCATCAAAAATAATTACTATTTTTAAAGGTAATGTATATATTTTAGTTATTGTCAAATCGAGATTGATTTATATATTAAATCTATATCTTAATTTTTAGATAGTAATAAAAAATTATCTAAATTATTTAAAAAGCTGCAAATAAAGTCAAATAGTAAGTAAATTACTAAAGAATAAATTACTATATCAATTTCATTTATTTAACATGACTTTTATTTAAAATTTAGATGATGAAAAGGAAATAACTCAACAACATGTCGATGGTAGGTGAAAATTTTACGTAATAACAAATAATTTTTATATTATTTTTAATTTAATTATTTATTTTCTTACAGATGATGACGAAGTATATAATGATCCAAATCTTCATTCAAAAGAACAAGATGAACAGGAAATTCCTGATGGTAAGTTCTTAAATAAATAAGATTTCTTTTTAAAGCAAATAATTAATTTATAATTTGACTTTAGATGGATTTTGAATCATTTAACAATTTTTTTTTTATATTTTAAATTATGGTTTTTACTTCAAATCACCGGGGGTGATCATCACCGTTGGCCAGAATTATCCATTTTTACCGGCACTATATTTTTTAATGCTGGTCGATTGTCATAATTTCAGTCACCGGTGATCATCACCCCGGTGATAGTTAGAAAAATTCTTAAATTATTATCATTTATTTTTTTATCTTGGATTATTTAAACACTAAGACTAGAGAAATAAATGTTTTACAAAATTCTTAGTTTGTAATTTAAATAATTTTAATAAATTTATTCAAATTATTATTGCCGTTTTCAGAAATGTTGACAATCTGAAATTTTAACCATTTTATATCGAACACACCGAACACCCGAAAAAACAGCGAAAGAAGGTATAATATTTAATATTTTAAATTTTATTAAATTTAGACTATTATAAAAATTTTCATTTTATCAAATTAGCAATCAAGATTCTAAACCATTGGATAAATCTATTACAAATGAAAAACCATCTTTGCTTTCAGATAAAAATTCGCTGGAAATTTCTATACAACCAGAACAACTTCTTTCGCTCATTCAAAGCGGTGCTCTATCTAATTTCAATGTTAAAATTAATGTTGCAAGTAATAACCAATAATAGTTACTGTAAATAACGTAAATAACATAAATAACTAATTAGAACAGAAATTTAATGTAATCAATATAGTTGTATCAATTATATCAATTATATCAATATCATGATCTACAATAATAATGTTATTGTTAAAAAAAATATCGGTCTATGAAAATCCGCATGATCTTACTTGGCTGAACGATAAATTCGAATATCATATTAACGATTTTAATATTTGGATATTTCGTGTTACACAAAATAAGACGACTGTCAGCACGTGTTAGATCAGTGAATGTAAGTAGTATATCCTATATAGATGTATTTGAAAAATATTCATTGTTATTTGTAACTGAAACGTAAATGATCATTTTCTCGAAAAACACGTTACATGGATAAAATATTTTTATACATAATAAAATTTGGAACGTAAATATTGGGAAGAGTTCAAAGTTATGAAAATAATGAAATACATCAATTTAGCAAGAATTTGATACTTGTTGATCGTTCACCAAAAAGCATGGTGATGGCCAGAAATACAATTATGTTAGCCGTCCAATATATTAAATAACTTTATCTACTGGGGGATTACCTTTTTATAATTCCAGAAATTGTGAAAGTATAGTTGCCCCACAAATCAGTTGAAGGATGAGGAACAAACAAATAATTTAAAGATACTCAAACACCCCATCACCATTGGACAATCTAAAGAAACAAAATAAGTAAGTATGCATCATAATTATTAAGATAACGTCCCGGGCTTGACACGGCAACATATCCTATTCACCACAACCTGGACTTAAACACGGTAGCTTTCAGATAATTAAATAAAGAAGAACGCTCACAGTAGGCAAGTCTGATTACTTGACAACTGTGGCCACGTTGCGCTTACAGTTCTTTATCAATTGTCCTAGTGGCAGCGTAACTTCAGATATGTATAACTCAGCATTTACTTCGTGTCTCCCCTATTCGATATTATAGCTTTTTAAATTCGTTGTATCTTAACTTCGTGTAGAAAGGTTAATATCTTCTTTTTTGTAAAACTTGAGAGATATTATTAAGGCTTGTAAGTTAGGAGGATAAATTATCTTTTTTTCATAATTTGCCTTATGTTATTCGGATCATAATATTCTGACTCATTCTTTTTTACTTCTTATTACGTCAAACCATTATAATTAGAAAGACAATTTTCTTTATTATTCTTGGGTTATTGCATTAATTGCTGCTGTGGCTTTTATTTGAACAAAAAGAATAATAATTATGATGACAAGAAATAAAATTAATATAATAAATTGTTATGACAAAGTTATGAAAATTCTCGTATTTTCACATCAATTTCACCGCACTACTCTACCCATAAAAATTACGCGTAGCACCATGTCGTGCCGTGCCGCAATTAGCTAGTTTTATAGTAGGACTCCAGCAGCGAAAGCTTATACCCACGAGCTTAATAATTGCAAGCAGATATGTTCCAATCTGACAATAAAACTATAGCCAGACCTTGATATACCGATATTCGATATACTGAACTATATTAAAACTCGATATAACAATAAAATTTACTTTTCCATAATACAAGAGTATGTTTAAATATCGATATAATTTTAATATAATGATATTGTTCAAATATATTCATATGTATCTTTATATTGGAGTTTGACTGCATACCGTTTCTCCTCCACCATCTATCGTTTCCACAACCATCATATCAAACCACTCTACTATTCCACCACCACAAGATTAAAGGGATGGGGAATTGATTAGACAAAGGACTATTTTCCAAAAAAAAAAAATAATAATAATAAATTTAGGTTAGAGGAACGAACTTTTTTACTTTATGTGAGAGAATTTTCAATTCTGCCAGTATTACGCCTAAGCTACTTTCAAAAATAACTTTGCAGAAACCTCTGGTTTTCATAAAATATGTTAGCGATATTTTTAAAATATACCAGACATATGATATTCCCATTTATGTTATCTCTGTTTTAACTATATGCTGACAATATGTTGAACATATAATATAAAAATCTTATTTTTATATAGTAACTATATGTTAGAGACATGGTAAAAATATTATTTTGAATGTTAAATTAATATGGTTATTATATGCCAAATATGTGTCAGAGATATGATAAAAATATTATTCAAAATATTAATTTTATATAGCTATCATATGGTAAATATGTATCAATAATATAATAGAAATTCAATTTTATATAACAATCATATATTGAAAATATATCGAAGATAGAGTAATAATAACAAAATAATATAATAGCCATGTTTCAAAAATAATAAAATAATATAATGATTATATGATAAAAATTTCGATTTAAATTAAAATTTCTCCAATAAATTCATGTACGACTTGATTTTTAAAAGAATTTCTCTAGTGTAATATAATAACATAATGTTAGCAATATAGTTGTCTAGCTGATTAAACTGCAGTATAATAAAAACTATTTAAAACATAACTTCGATTAGCCTCATTATGCTTGGTGCTACATGTACTTTTACATTCGTGAATAAAGTGAACTTGAGACATGTGATCAATAAAATTGATTGGAAAGATTCAAAACCAACGTGATTCTTCCAGCTTCTGATTATAAAGTGGGCATCTTGATATAGAATCAACAGAGTTCATCACCTGAAACTAATTAAATAAAAAAGTGTAAAATTTGACCATTGTTTGCTTTATGTTGAATAATAAATTCAATTTTAGCATATGCGACACCTTTAGATTCTTCATTTAGATCTACAATATCTACAATATCACCAATATGAAGTTTTAATCGTACAGGTTCTTGATTGTCTTTAATAACCGTGTATGAAATTGAACTATAAAATTCTATGTTTTTGTTCAATATTGCTGCACTTTAATTTAAATAATCTGTATGATGATTATCAGCCAACTTTTTTAATACGTCTTGACACTCAACTTTTTTGGCACTCCATTAATCTTTAATAGCCACCTCCATTTCCAGAAAGAATCGCCAAAACCTAAAAAAGAAGAACCCAAAGAATAAACTGTTAATAAGTTTGTTAAAATAAAATTATTAAGAAAAAAAATTGAAAAAACTTACCAAAATTTCATATCCAAAGATTTGGGAGAACGCCCTAAAAAACATAAAACGAACTGTTAGAAACCATTTGTTAAAAGGTGAAAAAAAAATTTGAAAATATACACTTACCAAAATCCAATATCTAGAGAAATCCGAAAAACTGTAAAAAAAAAAAGAAATGTATTAGAAACTGTTCGTTAAAAGATGGAAGAGTTAAATAAAAAAATAGTCAAAAACTTACCAGAATGTAACCTCCAAAAAAACCTGAAAGAACCATCTAAAAAAAGAGAAGAAATGAACAGTTAGTAACTATTTGTTAAACTAAAAAAGAAAAAAATAAAATTTTACTTGCCGAATTCCCACGTCCAAAGAGACTTAAAGAATTACCTAAAAAAAAAGAACTAAACTGTTAAAATGGTTCGTTAAAATATTAAAAAAAAAATGAAAAATATATTTACTGAAATCTGGTTTCTTAAAAAAAAATAAGTTTTGCAAAAAATTGCGAAACTTTCTGTATTCAGAAAAAAATGGAACCTACAAAAGAAATGAGAAAAGTTAGTAACTTTTCTCAAAAAAAAAGTAAAAATTTATTCGTAAAACTTACTATATCAAAATCGAACCCAAAAAGGAAAAAGCTTATTTTTAGTCACCCCAGCCAAATGATCGGCATAGTTTCTAAGCTAAGTGGGCGTGCACTACATCCTAGCTTATAAACTGCCCATGGGCCAGATTAGCCCACGAGATCTGATTGGTCCAAACAACTTACCAACATTTAATTACAAATAAGGCAATTTTATAACTTTTGACCGGATATTTACTTATAAACTCATGGTCAAGGATTGCATTAATGTACATTTTGTACCACCTTGTAACTATAAAAAAGGCAAAATTTTTTTCAAGGTTACACATTAATTTGGCCGGAATTAAGATAATTTCGCCCAGCAAAATTTGGCCGGAATTATAAAATGTCCGTTTGCAAATTTGGCCAGAATTATAAAAACGGATATAAATTTGGCCGGAATTATAAAAACGGACATTTATGTCCGTTTTTGTAAATTTGGCCAGCATTATGAATGTAAATATTTTAACTAATTATTCAGTAATCATAAATAAATAAATTATATTTTGTTGTCTTTGTCTCATCAAAATATGCTAAATAGTGGAATTTCTATTATCAATAAATAAAAGTTATTAGCATTTATAAATATTTAAAAATATAAAAAATTATTTCAAGAAAATGTTAATATTTTATTATTTATTTATTAATCCTAAAGGTATAAAACTGCTACCATTTAAAATATCTCAAAAAAACAATCCAACAAGCTATATATATTTTATCTTTCTATTTGTAATTACTTGATTTCAAGCTAAAGCAGTTTAGCTTTCAGCAATTTAATGTAAATATTTAATCAGATAATAGACATTTGTTTTTTTT